TCCCAAGCGAGTTCTTAACCATCGCGCCACTTGGCCGGCCCTGTTGTTTGTTTTTTTAACTGCTTTCGCAAGAGGTAAATCCAGTTTAACTGTGGAAATGGAATACTGTTATCTAGATATTTGCTGTTGAATAACTTAAGGTTATAAAATTGTATAGCCAACAGTAAGATCATCACACTTCTAGTTGTACTGATTCGTATTTAATCTCATCCATTTGAGAATCTGATGAAAGCCAACACTCAAAATTTTATTAAAAACTTCAGGGTGTTTTTGGGTTTCTTGAAATAGCTCTTGAATCCCAGATTAAGATCCCATGTCATCTATGCTTTGTTTTCTATTGGCTAAATAGATTTAGTCTCTGTACTTTAAGATTGATTTTCAGAGATAGTTGCTGTCCTTGATCATTATCTCTATTGAAATTGAACAATGACATCAGATAATATCTCCAGTTTTTGTGACATGTATACTTTTATATGAAAAAGTAGACATCTTTTCAATTCAAACATGAATTCAATTTTGTCAAGAATATATAGCAACTCATGAAGGTTATTAGTTTAGTGACCACTTGGGAGTAAATGGCATATTGAAACATAATCACATCTCAATATACCGAGAGTGCCAAAAAAATGAAAAAAATGTAGATAGGTACACACTTTGGTCAACGTTGCTCACGTAGTGGTTCACTGTAATCAGAGGTGTCTGGATGCTGATGGTAACCACTTTGAACACCTCTTGCAATAATTGCAGAAATCAAACATGACTTGTATTCATCTTTTGTTATCAGTATATATTGAATATTACAATTTTAATACGATTTTCCTTTCTTAAAATGTGTACATTTTTTTGGCACCCTCTGTATAGTAATAACCATTTTGAATCTCCTGGGAATCAGATATATGTATCCTGTAATATTAATACTTTTCAATGTATTGTACATGCTAAAAGCACTATACAGTTGACCTATGAACAACATGAGTTTGAACTGGACAGGTCCACTTCTATGCTGATCTTTTCCAATAAATACGCACAGTGCTGTAAATGTATTGTCTCTTCCTTATGATTTTTTAAATAATATTTTCTTTTCTCCAGCTTACTTTATTGTAAGGATACACCATATACTATATATAACATACAGAGTATGTGTTAACCGACTCTTTATGTTACTGGTAAGCCTTCTTCTGATCAACAGGCTATTAGTTAAAATTTTGGGGAGTTAAAAGTTATACTCAGATTTTCAACTGCATGGGGGGGTCAGTGCCGCTAACTTCTGCATTTTTCAAAGGTCAACTCTGTTGTCTAATATTGGAATAATAATTTATTATAAATATGTAATATTTATATTTTTACATTTTGCTCTTTCTGTATCATGCCATATTGTGGCATATGTGCTGACTGTATCAAGACTGTATCTTGGTTTGTATATGTACAGTTTTGCTATAGTTACTTTATATTACAATACATTATATTTTACTATGGCCTACCATTGCATAAATTACTATGTGAGATGTCTTGTTCAAGGAATTCATATTTGAAATGCCTAAACTACCTCTTTCATGGAAAGTTAGGTATATAGTAATTCTTTTGGTCTGTAGAGATCTATTGAGGACATTATTAAAACCGTTGATTTCCTAGCCATTGTCAGTATTCATCAATACAGAAGGAAAACATCAGTGGTATGTGACTTGTTCTTCTATGGCTTGTTCTTCTGTGGCTTGTTCTTCTGTCCTTAGGCTGTCTTCTCCAATTTATTCTCTTTGATTTTGTTGTGATATCTTCCAGATTTGAAATCTATCTCTGAACCAGTTCTAGATGAGTGGATTGGGAACATACAAATATGTTCCTTGACAGATTTAGAAATTGCTTGGGCCTTTCTATATCTATAGATACCATAATTTTTATTTCCTTTGTTGACTGATCAACAGTTTGTTTAGATGACTGGATTATCTCTGTTCCTGAAGGTTCAATTAGATTTCAGGTTCCTCGAGTAAATTTCTCACAAAAACTTAATTTCTATGTTAATTTTCATTCTGTAAAAATTAAGTTTCAAGATGTTATGAACATGAAATGTCAAGAAATTTTTTCTATTGTGGGATTAAAAGATTGATAAAACATAATCTATCTTCACAAATAAAAGTTCTTAGAGATAGCTGATCTGGTTGTAACAAATGTTAAAAAGTCCTAGTTATGTTCAGAGCCTTAATTTTAAAGGAAGAAATTATAGTTGATTTGTATTTTTTTTTTTTTTAAAGATTTTTATTGGGGAATTGGGGGAAGGGGAACAGTGTTGGGGAATTGGGGGAAGGGGAACAGACAAGTTGCTGTCGTTTTGGTCTTCAGTCTAGTTGTGGAGGATGTTGCTTCACTGGCCCAAGTTGGCACCATCATTGCGCTCTTCCCGGGCCAGGCAGATCAGTCGCCGGCTTCTGGACAGCCGCTCACTGCGGCTGCTGGCCGCTCACACTGGCTGCTGGCTACACACGGTAGCCCATGGCAACCCACTGCCACAGGGGCTGCAGCCTACGCCGTTGGCGGCGACTCACGGCAGCCCAGCTCCAGGTTGAGCTGTTGTTCAGCATCTTAGCTGTAGAGGGCAGTGTCACTGGCCCTCATATGTGGGATCCGAACCAGGGCCCTCTGGCGTCCCAAGCCAGCTCTTAACCATCGTGCCACTTGGCCAGCCCAGGATAATTTCTTTTGACCTAATTAATTCTTTCTCTCCTTCCTGTTTGCTCAGAAGCCCATATATGTTATTCTTTATCTTTAATATTAATGATATTTATTTATTTATTTTAAACTTTATTGGGGAACAATTTTTTTTTTTTCAGGGAACAATGTGTTTTTTCCAGGTCCCATCAGCTCCAAGTCAAGTTGTTGTCCTTTAATCTTAATTGTGGAGAGTGCAGCTCAGCTCCAAGTCCAGTCGCTGCCCACCAGCAGCTCAGCTGAGGTCGCCATTTTCAATCTAGTTCCAGGGGGCACAGCCTACCATCCCATGTGGGAGTCCAATCGACAACCTTGTTAAGAGCTCCGGGCTCTAACCAACTGAGCCATCCAGCCACCCACCTGCAGCTCAGTAGCAGTTGTCTTCAATCTAGTTGCAGAGGATGCAGCTCATTGGCCCATGTGGGAATCGAACCGGCAACCCTGTTGCTTAGAGCATGCGTTCTAACCAGCTGAGCCACTCGGCCGCCCCTGTTTATTTGTTTATTTTTGATCATTAGTTTCAGGTATATAAAGCAACATAATGATTAGACATTAAAACACTTCACAAAGTGATAACCCCAACAGGTCTACTACCCATCTGACATCATACATAGCTATTAGAACACCATTGACTGTATTTCCTATGCTATATTTTATATCCCTTTACTATATATATATATATATATATATATATATATATATATATAATTGTAGTTGACATTCAGTGTTATTTTATATTAGTTTCAGGTGTACGGTGCAGTGGTTAGCCATTTATATAATTTATGAAATGACCCTCTGTTAAGTCTAGTACCCATCTGACACCATACCTAGTTTTTACAACATTATTGACTATATTCTTCATACTGTATTTTACATCCCCGTGACTATCTTGTGACTACCAATTTGTGCTTCCTAACCACCTTTCTCACTCATCCTCCCAACCCCTTTCATCTAGCAACCATGAGTTTGTTCTCTGTATCTATGCCTATTTGTTTTGTTTGTTCATTTATTATGTTTTTTAGATTCCTCATATAAGTGAGATCGTATGGTATTTGTCCTTCTCAGTCTGATTTATTTCACTTAGCATAATACCCTCTAGGTCCATCCATGTTGCAAATGGTAAAATTTCAGTATTTTTTATGGCAGAGTGATTAATATTCCACTGTATAAATGTACCACAAT